ACGGCTCTACCAATTTCTGTGGGAGCGCTTGTCAAAAGGGCCCAGTGACCAGTAGCCTCGGGGAGTTCACCTACGACCACGTGAATCTGCGATAGAGACGGACCTACTTAGGCTGGGAGGGCGACCTGATGGTGCTGACGATCTGAGAATGGAGTGGTACTTATTTAGGCTACCCACTATGCAGGTGGTCGAATGCAGCCCTGCCCACCCCACCTCCGCCAACACGGCTTGGTACCCGATACCCGAGGATAGTGCCCATATACAGAGCGCTTCACCATCCATCCCTCCATCGCTCTCAGTAACCAGCAACAATCGGATGAGCCTCATGAGCTTCGCTCCGCCCAGATGAAAAATTGCACGAAAAGTGCAGCAAAAGTCCGCACGAAAAATTGTAAAAGCGCGTCTCCCGAGTTGAGGGACGGGAAGTCGCGGCGTAGGGATGGATGTGATGCTGGTGCTGCTGCAGTTGTTGTCTCTACTCACGACTACTTGACTTCTCTTCATCGGGGATTGTACAATCATCGATGTCAGCAACGTCGATTCCGGCATCAGCAGGACCTTCAAAGGAGCTGGTGGAGGGTGATATGACCCCACCGACCCTACCTAGGATAGCGGACATTTCTGAGGCCTCTGCACTGGCCGCTCAGTTCGTTATAAAGCACCAACAACAACAGCAGGAGGCCGCCGCTGCCGCTGCCGCTGCCAAGAAAGCAACCTCAGCGGCAGAAACCAACAGTGCATCTGCTACTGGCACTACCGTTGGCAACGACTCTAAATCTCGTGGTTCGGTTGTGGATAACGCCTCGCCCTCTACAGAGGCCCCTTCCTCTACCACTGTTGAGCCAGCTGAGCTGCTAGATAGCGAACTGTCGTCCTTCGTTGAACGGGTAGCTTTAACTGAGGAGGATCATCATGTTCACAATCACATACTAGGGTCAATATTGTCGGTCGCACGAAGTAACCTAGATATTGAGGCCACTATAGAGACCTTCGGGTCGGCGGCTAGCAGGCTCTCCGAGAAAAGCAGTGATATCGATGCGACGATAATATGTCGGTTTGCAGCGTTGAAAAAACGCTTTGGCGCCGCAGGGGACGAGAAGAGTCTGTGTTCAGCAGCCGTTATGGGTTTGGGAAAAGCGATTAGCAAATTTGAAAAGGAAGCGCCAGGTGTCGGCTTGAGGGTCGTGCAGGTGATATCTTAGGGTTCCCGGAGGAAGATTCAAATCATGTCCGATTTGTGCCATCAGGTTATTCCCTCTGCCAAGGTTCCGATTGTGGTGCTGTCATGGATAGGGCCCAACGGCAACGTACAGATTGTGGATGTGAGTATCAATAATCAGCTCCCTCTACATAACACTGCGGTAAGCTCCCATCACGTGTACCAGGAAGAGCACTGCCTCTTTTTATAGTTACTACGGAACTATGTGGAGATGGACAAACGTGTCCAAATCCTGGCGCTCTGTGTGAAGGTAGGACCTAGGGTCTGTTACTGTTCCTCAGTGGTGACTCTTCTCAGCGGTGGGCCAAACTATGTGGAATTAGTGACGCTAAGCAGGTAACCTCAGTAGCTACAGTTGGACCTTGCTCTGCATATATTTTCTACAGTAGTCATATTACCATCACTACTGCT